TGCTATACAATTTTTAATATTTGACATTGAGTATTGATCGACGGAGCAGTAGTATATTAATATTTTTGAATCAGTTATAATTTATATTATAATATCTTAATTTATTGTATATTTATACACATATAATATGTTGAGATTATAGTAATTTCTACATAATATTTTATGATATAATAAATACATTAAACCTTACACGATATTATATGTCATTTAAAAATTGAGTTTTCTAGCATTTGATTCACCAATTTATTTCGTATTTGTACCATGTGTTTTGAAAAGAAATTTTAACTCTCTCGCTTTTTGTTTCTTAAAGAAAAAAAAAATTAAGAGCAACTGGTTACTTAATATTATTAAAATAAAGAATCTCTTCAGTTTTGGAATTAAATTTTTTTTGTTGATTGGCCTTTGAATAATTGAAGATTAAGAATATAAAATTAACTAATCGTAACTAAAATGTAATCTATATTACATTGGAATAATATAAAATTAAACCGTTATTAATTAACTATACATATTATATTATATGTATATATTTTTTCATTATACAAAAATATGGAAATAAGGAAATAAATTGGTACTCATGGAAGTATATTAAAACATATTATATATTATATATACATAGAATGACGTAACCTTGTACGTATTTTGTATAGTTATTATTTATTTTAATCTATATCTATAATATATTATGTTAGCAAACTAATGAATCGAAATCTTATATTTTAGTTAAGTCAATTTTACTCGATAAAAATTGCATCATACTAGTTAAAAAAATAAAAATGTATTCACTATTTTATATAGCCGGCTTCAAATCTTTAATAATAATGAATCATAATATACCTACTTTTATGAGTGTATTATTCATAGTTACAAATAAAGTAGCAATTCTCTAATATTATATATAGACTTAACACAATATATAAATATATAATCGAAACTCGTTATCTATAAAAGTATAACATAAATCAGTTTTTGAAATTTAAAAACAGTTGTATTCATTTTTAAAAGTATAATAAACTGGTACTAATGTAAACATACATATTTGAATTAATATATTTGCACAATGAAATATTCCCAATCACAAAATACATACCAATATATAAATTAATTTAATAATTCCAATCAAAATTCGTGTTACAAAAATAGTTATAACTGTTTTACTGGATCAAGGTATAATACTTGACTACTTATATAAATCTGTTATTTATATATTCTACATACTCTGCAAGAGTATTTATGACATATGTATAATCTACATACTTAATGCATCGTATCTAAACAACCATAAGCAAAATAATATTTTAGGAGTCATAAAATATGTAATATCCGTTCAAACAATTGAATATATATTAATATATATACTAAACGAAAATGTTAACGGTTTTTCACGGTCTGTGCAACATAACACATATAATTATCATTTATCATACGAATTTAAAACGACACGTTTACATTGGCATTTGACTTGTTTAAACAAAAAGGGTTAGAACATATTTTTGTACGTATACACAAATATGTTATTGTTACTTATTGTATTCATTTAAGAATTGTGTACAACTTAAATTAACTATGTATCTATTTAGACTTTATATAGCATACATGTATTTTATTATTTATTAAAGCAATAGTTAAACAACAAGTTATTTAACATTTTGAAATCAATAGGTATTTATTTTTGCATAAATATAAACTAAATCATTTTATTTTTTTGCTTAACTGCAATCTTAATAATAATATAGTATTAAGAACTAAGATAATAATGACACGCGCTGAGCTATCATATACATACATAATGTATAACTATAATCTTGCGAATATATCAAATTACATTTATAATTATTTCAATATAGATTAATTAGATGGATTTTTAAATTAGTAATATCATAAGAAAATAACGTAACAATATTATAGAATATTAATGTTTTATAGATAATAGGTTAGTAGGTTATTATTTAATACTTACACATCTATACTAATTATACTTATATAATAATATGTGCATTTCGGTTTAAAACAGTTATAAATTTCTTATATTTTGATAACTATTATAAGTATAAGGTTAAATATTGAATAATAATATAAATCAATTTTAAATAAATTAATAACCATATATACTAAATAATTAATTAAAATTTAAAAGTAGTTATCTAAAGTGATATTTGCTTCATTATTAAGTTTTTTACGGTATAACAATAATATTTCCCAAAATATAATTATTAAAGCAGCAGAATTTCTAAAAATTTTAATTGATTAAAAAAAATCTTTGATATATATTATTTTAATTTATAATATAAAGGGTTAGTGGTGTATGATAAATAAATTTGCATTTCATGAATTATTAAAATTAAATAGTAACGGGTTATATAAATTATTCTATTATACAACTCAATGCACGTTATTGAATGATGAATTAATAGTCTATTTATTGTAAAAATTGAATGATTGAAATTAAAATATAAAATATTTTATACGTTTTTTACGTTATAGCCTATCCAGTTCACTCATTTATATTATAATACAATGTTACCGATATTGTTAAAATGAACATTAGAAACACTTAGTTTTTTTTAACCTTCAGGTACTTTGTTTAGACAAACAAATCGTAATAAGAAAGAACCTAATCTAACTAGAAGAGTTAATATCAGCTAGTTGTCGTTAGATTATTTTGTGCACGTGACTAGTATTTTTTAATTATTTTGCGAAGGATTATCGCTCGAAGTCGCGACATTTCTAATGAAAATTGTATCTTTAAAAATATACTTACTATAATTATGATAAGTTTTAAGTGGTACACAAATGAGAAATTCAAACTAAATATGAATAACCTAAGGTATTTTAAAGTAATTTACTAAAAATAAAATATAAGTAATATTACATACATAATATTATTATTATATTTCAAAAAGTGAGTTGATAATTTTCTATCAAAGGTACCAAATGACATTTAATTCTAATTTTTAAGTTTTCTCTCCTCGATAAAATTCAGTTTGTAAAAAAAGTACAGAGTGGTTTGTACCTTTTTATTATAAAACTCCAGTAGTATATTGTATATATTGTATATATTATATATTAAATTCGTATTTCCTAAATTAAAATTGAATATTAAATTAAAATAATAACTAATATAATAAATATTATAACTTAAAACCCTACCTAATCTGCAAATTTTATGATTACAATAATCCATTTTTTGTCTAGTTATTTTTAAAATTATAATGAATTTACTTATCATAAAATTTAAAGGTAAGATGATTATCCAAGGCATCTCAAAGACTTAAATTGATATTTTAATTATGAAGCAAGCTAAAATCATTTTAAAACAGTACATATTTTTATAAATTTTAAAATAATTATAATTTGCCTTAAAATTAAAATTTCAATAAAAGTCTTCGGGATGCCTTGATAATAATTTTACCTTTAAATTTTATGATAATTCAAATTACTCTAATTTTAAAAATAATAGAGTAAAATCGATTATTGTTAATACGGAACGTAAAGTTACATTTATATGTTGTAAGTTTATAAGAAGAAGACAACACATGCTCGGGTATGGCGTCCTCTTAATAACTATACTATTAATTTATTGAAGATAAAATATTAAGACTTATATTTTATTATTTTCTACTTCAAAACGTGAATAGATAATTTTTTCCGTCTATATAATTAATATAAAATATTATAAAATGGGAGATCAGACTGTACATTATATATTACTAATAATTATTATGTTCACATTTTATTTTAATACATATAATATATAATTACATCAGTAAAAATAAACTTTAACTTGAAATTTTCTGTCAATCTTATTTATTGCAAAAAATTCGAAATTTTATATCAATACAGTGCTAAAAAATAAGACGTAGATATTATATTTTCCAAAATACAAATAAAAGTAATAATAATATATATAAAACTAAAACATATCGACCTCGTTAAGGTCATAGACACCACTTAGAACGAGAAACTCATCAAGGTCCTCTAGTTTGTTACCCGCGTATGTATATTCCGTTTTAATGTATGTGAAAAATTTCCTGTAGATATATTTATATATATGTAGGTGACTTATTATTTATCTTAAATATATACAAAATTTCATAAAAATTTACTGTATTTACCGTACTACCGTTAATGATGAATATAAGATGCGTTAAATTGGTAGATATATGCATACATAAAAATATTAAAAAATAAAATATTATTATCATTGTTATACTATAATATGTTATAATTCGTGATATTCGTGAGTTATAAAGCAATTTATAATACATTATTCAAAGTTTAAAACTTTGGTTGGCCATTAAATAGGCTTATACTATCGTTTTCGATGTTTTTGTGTAATAATAAGAACATTTGTAATGTATAAACTATAATTGCAAATTTTAACAAAATCTTTTTTGTCAGTCTTTATTAATATATTAGAACTCCTATTAGCTTACAATTTTTATTAAGAACACATTAATGGAGTTGAATAGCAACTTAATATACTCATTACCCGGTATAATAAATGCCAGTTCAATATACTAGTTGCGCACTAAATACTTAAATACCCATCCAGGCCAACTATATAACGTCCTAATATTATTAAACTAATTTAAATATATTTGATTTAACACATTACTATTGTTGCATAGTAGCACAACAAGGTTCTTGTATGTTAAAATATAATATGTACTTTGAAAAATACTATATATAATATGTTCTAGTATTATAAATATATTTATTATAATAAATATGTCTATTGTCTAGTTAAGCAATTGTAAAACTATTATATTGGATAAAAAAAAATAAAAAATAAATAATTAGTTTCTTAAAACTGCTACTGATTAAAATTATACTCGATACTGAAAAATGTAAATTTGTATTTTTTGAACTATGAATCATTTATTGTTTATTTATTTTTAGTTAAAATGTACTTAATCATTTTTACAATTGTTTTGTACATATCCAACTATTGTAACAAAGCGTTAATATGACAACTTATTTTAATTTTATTTTTTAAGGAGTCATCCAAATATCTTACCAAAGACGGCTAATTCTAGTGATCTAAGCGTATAACAGTTGCCGGTCCGATCGTCGTTTCCTATTTCGATGGGTTGAGACGAATACTAACGAGTTTCCAGAGCCTGAAAACCTATCTATAATAGTTGGTTCAAAGGCCGAAGGAGACATATTGGAGAATTTTTGAAGAAAGAAAATTGATTTATAATTGTCAAATCGCAAGGTTTGAACTTAAGCCAAATTTAAAAAAAAAAATAAAATCTGGCAACCAATTATAATATTATTATCCGAAGAATAGACTTTTTTTTCTACCATAGATACAAAAATGTTGAAAGTAGTAGGAGCATCATGGGCTCAGACACAATTATCGTGGTGTTTGATTATTGCAATCACTTTGTTGGGTTTGCTAGCATTTTATTTCGGAGGAACGATCAGGTAAAATTTTAATGTTTATCAACTGTTTCATAACTATCTGACTATTATTACGTGTATGTTATTCAGAAATGAGTACGATGGTAAATATGCCGCAACAGCGTTTTGGAGCAAAGAATTTGGAATGAGAATTGATTTCTGTGGCCAAAATAACGACCCGCTTAAAGTAAGAAAAGGAGTGGCAAGAGCTTATTATAGACCAGATTTATCTGAAAACGGGTAACAACAAATTTCACGTCCATAATTATCAATAACTCGGTAATACATATTATATATGTGTGTATTTTATATAATTAAATTTAGATGGGCAGTTTTAGAAATTGAAACTCAGGCGGAATACCCAGATTACGTACAAGCTAAGGCTGCTGGATATTTGGAAGGAAGTTTGACGTGGCGAATGATTTATTGGCACTGGAAAAACACAGTGGAAAACACGTGTATCGGGAGAAAGGCATTCTGTGATCGACTTAGAAAATATTTAGAAGAAAATGCTGACGAAATCAAACAAACGGCAAAACGGCGAGGCGAATTAGACCCGTTTTGGCACCAAGTAATAAAAAAATATATTCAAAACTGTTTCGAAAAAAATAAATATTTTAAACCCGATTTACGCTTAGGTGAATATGTTTTACACGCAACTAAAAGCATTGGAGGATGGTTGGAGATTTGGCGTAAAAAGAAGCAGACAAGATATTGACATACCATCTGTAGACTTTTTGTAAGTTTATTATATTTGTATCATTAAATACTAAGATATTTTCATCCGTAATATCACAACTCATATTTATTATTTGCATACCAGTACGACTTGACATGCATTTTATTAAACAGTTCATACATAAGCAATAATAAAATAAAATTTTAATGATTTAGATTGTTATTAATTATTATTGATATATTATCATATCAATTCAGCTATAATGTCATTTTTAGCTTTATTAGTTGAAATTATTCAACATATCTAACATACCAATTTAATAGATCACAATGAGTTACAGTTCGGCATATTAATATCAAATAAATTATTGTCAAATGTAATATTGTATTCAAAAAATTAATATAAAGTGTAATTGAACATAAAAAATACAACTGATTGTTCTTAGATGGATGAACATAATGCCTGATTTAAAAAACTTCGAACAAAAATTTAACGCATCAAAAGATTTTAATCCAAATAAACCATCGATATCTTCTACATTGGTAAAAATTATCGACAATGACCCAATTGACTTTGTATTAGCTCAATCAGCTTCTGGATAGTAAGTACACATTAATACATTTCGATCGTTTCGTAGGTTATTATTGAAAAAAAAAATTATAACTTTAATATTTATAGTTATGAGTCAATGTTGCGCATACAGAAACGCTACAACTTTGGTTTCCATGAAACGGAAAGCGACGACAGTGCACTCGTTAATGGAAAAATAATCGAGTTCACGTCATATCCTGGATCAGTTTATTCTCAAGACGACTTTTATAAGGTCACCAAGAAAGGTTCTAAGATTGAGACTACTGTTGTAGGGACAGAATTACAAAATAACAACAGACAACTCTGGGAAAAGATTATGAAAAAAGACCAAGTAATTAAACATTCACAGTGGTTATGAACACAGTATTAAGTTTTTGAATATAAAATTATGTAATAAATAGGTCCTGTTGGGTGCTAGAGTCATGGCAGCCAATCGTTTAGCGAGTAACAGTAAGAAATGGTACGAGGTGTTTTCGAGAAACAATAGTGGCACTGGAAACAAGCAATGGTTGATCATCAGCACAAACAGCACATCAATTGCATTTGGAGTTGTCGAACAAATGCCCGGCATTGTTAGTTACGAAGAACTATCCAAAAAACTTTTGTCCACCGGCTATTGGATCAGCAATAATATTCCAAGTCTCAAGGTCAGTTGCTTAAAAATCACCCTCACGTAATTAGGTCGTACACTTTGGACTATGGTGAATATCTTTTCTAGGTTTCACGCTAGCGCGATCGGTCTAAAATGTACGCTATCCCTTCGGTACATACTTTCAAAGAAGATTTGGCACGAGTGCGCGCACATTTAGATATCAAGACAAATGTGCACTACCTAGAGCCATAAAAAATCCCAAATATTACATCTGCAGGTTAAACATTTCGTAATAGTTATTACGACACCACATATGCAAATAATATATAGCCATATACCTAGATATAATTTATACACTTAGGTTTTATATAACGGCTAATTTTCGCTTTCTAAAGATCATTTAAACGTAACCATAGACAAGCATCATTAAACAATTGATTGAAAAATATTTTATTTTTCTTACAAAAATACATATAATTGATACACAGTGTAAATGCATCTTAATTAATGTAAGACACTCATTATTTCAAAAATTATTAACGGTTTTAAAAATATATTTTTTTTTTTTTTTTAATTATTTTAAGTCGTAAAAAACAATTTTTTTTCTTTTAGTGAAAACATTCAATATTAATTCCTCATTTCGAAGAATTATAGATTTTGGAGTATATCTTTTCATACAAACAAATCAAATTTTGGACAAGTAGTTCGTAAGTTATCAATATTTAACTTTAAATGGAGTGTGGATGATTCAGAGGTACCCCGCAAAATGTTGGTGCTCTAGTCCGTTCATACAAAGTTTAGACTCTAAACTTCAAATATACAATATTACTGTAACATTTATTCGCAATGAGATTTTTATAGATAAAAATAGACTGAGTAAAATTATACTTCGGAAATGAAATTTAAAATATATATAATTGTTTTTCAAAAGGATGAAAACTTAAAAATAACAATGATAAAAATTATAGTTTTTTGTTAACGACTTACAAATATGTAAAATAAATTATTTCAAAAAATAAACTACTTTTTTGAAATAATGAGTATCACATTATACGGATCACTTCATTTACACGACTGTACATAATACGATTTGAATATCTTTAAGAACTACTGACTAATTTGAAAAATGTACCCTGTCATTATGTTTCTTGTTGTCGTCATTTCACTATCTTTATTAAATATTTTCCATCGAAACGTCGGTTAAAAAGTTTCAAGACGCCAAACGTTTATTGATACTTGTACCGCGCAATACTACATTTTCGATGTTGCTTAGCTCGTATCGAAAAACACTAATACGAGACCTCTGCACGCCTATCACACTTAATATGGTATAGGTATACTCGCAAGTGGCGCACATTAGAGGGTTTCTATAGGATAGCGAATGTTACCTCTGAATTTTTTTGTGAAAAAACAAATTAAATATGATTTATAGTTTTAAATTTAACACATTAAAATTATTATAGTTATAATATAATCATTAGTAAGGCTTGGTTAGAAGACGTTAGTTAATGGGGTGTGGAACATGCTACTCCTATCTATTTTCGAGTGTGCTTCACTGTGTATGCTTTGCGCGTAAAACATTTTTATTAAAAAAAAAAAATCTTTCCTCTTGCGGTTTACAGGAAACGGTGTATATGTCGGGCGCTGACGGACGGGACGCCGATCAACCGGTGGCGAACATACTGCGCGACGGTCAGCGGAACGTCACCGACATGGGAACGCTGGTGGACCTGATGAGGGGTACCGAGATGTCGCTAATCGGCCGGACTGACCTGCTGGGCGTCAAGACCAACGCCGTGTTCCGGCTGTTCGCCAACCAGTCGTTCGTGGAACAGCTGATCGCGGCCAACCGGCTCCGGTCGGCCGACGCCGCAGCGCCACTAAAGGCGGACGACCGGACGACGATCGTCACGACGAACCAGCTACCGCCGTCCGCTGTGTCCGCCGACAAGTCCAACACGGACAAGTACTTCACCGGAATTGTGGACCTGAAGGTCACGTCGGCGTACATGAGCGGTTACTTCGCGGCTTCCGGGCCCCCGTTCACCGAGGACCACGCCAAGGTCGAACCGTTCCGGTGGTCCGAGAGCCCGATCCGGCACTTGCCGCACTACGGGCACCCGGACGTCTGGGACTTTGAAGTGGAGGGCATCGGTTGGGTTTGGACCTGAAGACCGAGCGGAGATTCAGCGATACGCGACGCATGATGATATTTTGTATACAATAATAATATTACATTAGATCAATGGGTGTGTGTGTGTGTGTGCACTACGATATTTTATACTGTGTGTACGATGTAAACGGAACATCGGACACGACCTTTAAGATGAATATATTATTATTATTATTTTTATTATTACTATTATTATTTTTATTATTATTATTATTATTATTATTATTCGCACGAGGCGTACGTATATTAATTGCATACGGACAGATATCGCAGACGACTCGCGCGTTTATATTGCGTATCATGTATACCGCCAATAGAAAAAAAAATTCATTATACATACACAAACTCGCGTCCTAGTTTTGTCTGGAAAGTCCTATATACCTACTATACATATATACCTACTTTATATATTATAATATTATGTGATATCTACCTATACTATATATACCTACAATCTACATAAACGATAATAATATAATACATAAATGCACACTTTAGAGCAGAATTATTGAGACATGTGGTTATTGCGAATAAAATGGAATTATTAAAACACTCGTATCCAGGTATTATCCATGTTATGTACACCAAATAGTGTTGCAGCGAAATAACAACTTATTCACCGTCGTTGTATTTTATCATTATTGCACGATTTTATTCGATATACTATACCTATGTATACGAATGTGTATTATAAACTCGTCTTCCAACATTATTACAATTATTACCCTTTTTTTTTAGTACCTTTATAGACTATTTCCTTTATTTCCTATTTCTCAGTAAACTTATATTTATGTATTTTTATTTCATATTTACGATGCAAACGTTCTTATTTTGTAGCATTCAATGTGATGTAATTTTTAAATAAAGATTATTTTAAATCGAATTTAATAGTGTTTGATTTGTTATTTTAAACCGTCTAAATGGGCTGAGAAACATAAACAAAAACATCAGTATTCATTGTTGTACTGAGATTTAAGTTGGAAACAGTCAACGACTGGTTAATGAATTGTAAACGACAATAATAGTAATATCGATAACATAAATTACAGTATATAGTTATAAAACTATTGATTTAAATCGACCTCGTTGTTTAATTACGCTTTTTGGCAAAAAAATTAAATCTCAGTAATCAATACTTTTATTATATACTTTGTAATATTAATTTCAATATCCAAGCCATTTAGCAAGAACGCAATTTCAACTTCCTATATAAATAGAATATTTTATTGATATTTATTTAGGTAGCTCCTATAATAGAAGTAAATAATATTTACCGAAAAAAAATCCTTATTTTCTATCATGGACTGCTTGCACAAAAAATAGTTACTACAATAGACGCCGTTTATAAGACTCACTTTGTGCTGGTCTCAAAGTGAGTCTTATAACCGAATGAATCTTATAGGCGAAGAGGAAAAAAAAATTTAATTACGTATTTATAAATTTTATTTTACTACATATTTTGCTTTGATTTTAATACATTAACACATATTACATATTACATACTTTATTATTGAATAAATTTAATAATCCCGACAAAAAAAAACTAAAATTATAATCGTTATAATTATCGTTGCGATAAATGTGAACTTTTATCTGCGATAAAAATTATTATACGTTATAAGGTACTAACAGAAACTAGAAATAATCAACACGAATATTATTTCATTTTTCAAAACCAACTTATTTCTAAATTATAAACTAAAAAGTTTATTTTCTATTATTTATTTTACGAAATTTGAGTCTTATAACCGAAGTGTTGAGTCTTAAAACCGATTTTTTTTAATGTATTTGGATACGTTCGGACCGTTCCAGACGATTTTGAGTCTAATAAGCGACTGAACCTTATATCCGTGAGTCTTATAAGCGGCGTCTACTGTATTATTAAATTATTCTAAACATAAATTAAAACAAAACCAGAAACCTTGCTTCTGCTATACATAGAATGAATGAATTAAAAAAATTTAAAAATTCAATATGAGTAGGTACACCTATACACGAAAAAAACGATTCTGAGCCAAGAAAACAAATAATTTGAACTAAAACGCGTATCAAATAAAACCGTGGGTACCTATCTAAATAATATGTCTTTTCGATATTTCTTTAATTGCTTCAATAACCACTTTTGTGGAACATTATATCGTGTTATCAAACCTTAAGTACGTAAGCTGTCCGATAAATAAGGTACAAAATTATTTTTGGCGTAAAAAATAAACGATATCGGCTTGAAACTTCCAGCATTGATAATATATGTAAAAAACAACGTATTCTATGCAACATGACTATTTTACTTTAGTGTTCCGTCGAATACGTAAGTATAAACATGGAAAACCAATATTTAAGTTTCACAAAAGAAGAAGTTCGCGCCGTCATTCGGTTTTTTAATTTTCAAAATGTTTCTCCGACTGAAATTCATAGAAAATTAACCGAAGTTTATGGCCCGCACGTAATGTCTCAAAAAAGTGTATCGGTTTGGTGTACAAAATTTAATTTGGGTCAAGAAAGTGTTGAAGATGAAACAAGAAGTGGTCAACCAATAAGCACGTCCACCGCCGAAACCATTGAGGCAGTCGAAAAATTGTTACGATCGGATAGACGACTTAAAATTAGGGAAATGGCTACACAACTTGATCTACCAAAGACCACTGTACATGAAATTGCCCATGAGAAATTAAATTTTCGTAAAGTTTGTTCACGTTGGGTTCCGAAAATGCTTACACCAGACCCTACATTCAGCGGGAAAGACCAAAGCTTGGCTGGAAAACAAGTGGGAAGTATTGCAACATCCACCATATAGTCCTGATCTGGCACCTTCAAATTTTTTTTTGTTCGGTCCGTTAAAAAAACACTTAGGAGGAACTCATTTTCAAAATGAAGAGGAGGTAATGAATGCAGTTACAGAGTACTTCGATGAAAAATATGCTGCATATTTCCGAGATGGCATTTTCAAATTACTCCATCGTTGGGAAAAATGCATCAATTTAAATGGTGACTATATAGAAAAATAGCAAAATATGTCTAATTTATTGTGTAGAAGTTTTAAAGTAATAAATTCATTTTTCATTATTCGGTATATTTTTGTACCTTATTTATCGGACAGCCTACGTATTTAAGTTGAAAATTTTAAGTTTTAATAAACAAATGTGAATCTTTCGAGATTTTTAAATATATTATAACATTTATAAAATGAAAAACATTGCTATATTATATTATTATCTTTAACAAAATTTTAACAATACATTTTTTTTAATACTTTTAAGTAATTATCCTACCCTCTTTTTCAAAATTAGAAAACGATTTCTGCGTTGAAATGCACCCAATGCGAAAAAGATCTGGACACGTTATGGTCGTTTGATCGGCAATAAATCAGGCCCTGCCGCTGCCGAGTAATTACGTATTTTAATTGGTCGATCATGTGAAAATAAAAAACACTTAAAATAATATGACTATATTGTATAATGGTTTAATCGGCTTTCCTAATGAAATATAGTTAACCTAACATTTTTTTTTCGGTTTATTATGCATGTATTTCACAATTTATACTAGTGTAGCAGGAAACTATAAGAATGACGTTTACCTAACCAAAAACTGAATTTTCTGGAAACAGTAGAAACCATAAATTCAATCAATGCATATAAAATAAGTGTTAACGTAACAGATGAAATATACTTCCGTTTTAGATTTTTTAATCAAATAAAAACATATTTTTTAAAAAATTGAAAATAACCGAGCAATTTTATATATTAATATTTTTATCATACATTTATACGTACCCATAACTTACTTGAAAGTTAGAATATCGTAAAAAACCGACAAAAGAACACAGATTATGTTCTTAACTTTGGGTTTGAAACAGATCATTTCATTCTAATATTTAAACTGAACATAAAAAATTAAACTGATGAACGTATATTTTTCTATAGTATGTATTCTGTGACGAAGACAACACTGCATGAAGGAACGACATCCTCTTAAGAAGTCCGGGTTAAAATGAGAAGAGAGCTGGACATAGGTAGCATTATTAAGTCACATTTTTTTTTAATTAAAAGATAAAAGATTAGTAAGATGAGAAAAAAAGCACTTATAATTGATTTAAATTTATCAAGGTAAAAATCTGACTGTCATTAATATTTATAGGCATAGTCGCATAGAATTTTGGTTAGGTGAATGGTGTTTAACTAATGTGGGTAAATATTAATGTAATACACACAATTTATTTAAATTTTAATTTTAGCCTAGAAAATTAAGTCTTTGTAACAATTGTAATGCTATTTACGGTTTATCCTTCATACTCTATAGTCTTTACTGCAAAAAAAAGGATTTAATGGAGTTAGAATTAATAAAGTTTATTATCGGTTAGATTTGAATATGTTTTATGTTTAACATAATTCTGGCAATAAACACATGCCGTGTTACAACAATAACCATATACCTAAACCAGAGTTCTCAGCATTGAAGAAAACCAATAACGGTAATATCTTGAAACATTAACGCCAGTTTTTCAGACACGTTTCTCTTGTTGAAATTCGTAAGCAATAAGTACGGTATATTAACTAAACATGGTATAGGACATAAAGAACATTAGTTCTCCGTAATTATAGCCGGTGAAGTATGAACGAACTAGACTACAATTTAGGTTATCGAAACCAAACACTGGATTATGGGGTTTACCGAGTTTGTTAACGTTCACTTTACTGTTTATTAGACAGCCCGAACTTCTTCATTCCTACGTCATCAGCTATGTCCAACTCGCGGTATATTATGGTAAACGAATGACGCCATAATTACGACCATATTCTGCATATAATACATGGATATGACACTAATAATCAAGTGACTTCCACCCACCCACCCTCATTAAATAAATACATACTATCAAATTAAATTAACGAAAAAACCCCTTATTGAAACGAGTGCGTAGGTGAATAATTTTTCATCCACATTATGGTTGCGACTTCTTATTATGTTTTACCTATTTATTCTATTCTCATGTCATGCCTATGATCATACCTAATTAATTATGTTGATTCTAACTGTAATTAGTAATTACTAATTGACAAATGAAAATTAAAATATTATTTCATATACTTTATTACCAGTAAACTATTAAGCAATTTAATGTCCTACACTAAACTGGATATTGAGTTTATCTTTATATAATAATATATATAAAATGTATAACTATATTATATAATATCAATTTTAAGATTGAATATTTGATTTAACTTATTTAATTTAAAATAAATGTTTGATTCAATTTTCTATCAGTCATATTATGGCATTGCTGAGTAAAAATTTACCAGATATAAAAATGATAATAATTCTAATTCAATGTGGAAGCTTATATATCAGAACATTTGATTTAACCAATCTTTGTATACCAGTGACCACAGCAAAATTAGAAAAAGAAATTCAACCAAAAGTAAAAAATTGATAGGTCATTTTAAATTTGTTAAGAAAAAGAATATGCAATTTTACAAAATCAGTTTCATCAACGCAAGAAATCAAGAGAAAATTAATTAAAAATGATACTTAACATTATTCAAAATAATTAACAATTCAGGTTTTTTATAAAACCAATTGGAATCAAATTATGACCAATCATTTGTCTACTTTTGATTGCCTTAATTTTTTTTTTGTATAAGAAAAGTAGCAATTAAAATCAATTTGTTCTCAAAATATTTATAAATACAAGTAGTAATATAAATAGTACAGCTATAATAATAATAATAAAAAAAGAATATAATCTTTTAATGTAAAAAAAAAAAAAAAAAAAAAGAGAAGACAACTGGCAACTGGATCTTTAATGTTGAGTTTGATACACATCAATATTTCTTACTGATTAACAGAAGTGAAAACTTAATGAAAATTGTTACTATTTAAATAGGGTAAAGAAATAAATTCAAATTCATCTTCTTCTCTTTCTGCCAATTATACTTATTCAGGTCTGGACATTGCTTTAGCTTGTGCTCGGACACGTTTGTCATATTCTACACGATTTTGGCTAGAAAAAAAAAAAAAAAAAGTTGAAATTAATACCAACTATTATTTTAATATAACATTAAGTTAGCTTTAATATTTGAATGAATTGTTTTATAATCTATATACAGTACATTATCTGATTTTGTATGTAGCTTTTTATCACAATATTATAATTATATGCAAATTTTTTAGTTAAACATTTTTACTGGTTACAGGAAAGTTGAAATATAATAAAAAGAAAACATACAAATTATACATTTGATTTTAAATTAGATAATAGAAAATTCACTTTAATATTAATGCTAAAAACACAAACATTTTTATATATGTTTTATAGAGAGAATATGCCATGTATTGACTTAGGCAAGTCATACACTCACTTTAATGAGCAATTACTTTATAATAAAATATTTTTAAAGCTTATTAGTCTATTTAACGTTTAAATATTATTACCAATAAATAGTGTATGCTTCTGCTTGAGCAGGATCTTTGATGTTGGGTTCATTCAAAAGATCTTGTATTCCCAACAATATCTGCTTAATAGTAATAGCTGGACGCCAATCTTTTTCTTCATCCAATAATGATAAGCACACAGTACCTAGTTTTTATCATGAATTAACAACATTGATATTTATATAAGTTAAAAATTAATATTATAAATGTATATAATAAATATAGCTTATATTTACCAGAAGGGTACACATTAGGGTGGAATAATGGAGGCTCAAATTTACATTTAGGTGGACTGGATGGGTAATCATCTTTGAAGATCATGCGTAAAAAATACATTCCATTTTCCCAAGGAGTCTAATAAAAACATTAATACAAAAAATTATTTAAAATGTATCAATAATTATTAATACAGACATAAGACATATTTTAAGACTCTTAGCAAAGCAATGAATATATTAGACTTTTAACAACTGGGTTGAATACCATGTTTTTTTCTGACTGATTTTTGTAATACTCTGTTTTTAGTAACATGATTCCTTACATAAAAACACAGAAATATAATGTAGTTATTATTTATTTCTCTCAAAAATAAATTTTAGGTTAAGGTTCATAGATTTTCCTAGTAGAGGAAAAATAATAAGTAGCGTGCTATGTTGTCTGAAAATGCCTAATAGAAGAAAAACATTCTCTGATTGTAAAACCTTTGAGGGGGATCTCTGGTAATAAATTGAATTTACTTTGTATTTTACAAAGAGAAATTTTTTAATACTTTTCGAAATATTCAGGATAAAGAAAAACAATGATACAAAAACTTGATAATTTTACACAAAATCAATTTTGTTTTATATAGATTAATTAGATAACTAAGCTTTATAAATAAAAAATAGCTAGGAAATATATACATACATTAATCTAAAACATGATTCTAATTTAGTGAACAATTCTTCAATACTCTACTAACTTAATCAGTCAGCTAAATAAAAAACCAATTTTATTAATACTTACACTCTTTCTTCCTGGTATGAAGCATTCCCAAACCATGAGGTTCAAAGAACCATCTGGATTCTTGCCTGGCTTAGCAACAAAACCCTTAAGATGAAAAAAAAAAATGTTTCCAATTATTAAATGTAAGTTGCTTGTTTTTATTGTATAGTATGTTTTATATTTTATAAGTGATATAGTACTTACAAATGGATGATCTTTTCTCCATCCTTTACGTTCTTCCGATAATCGAGTTAAGGCAATACCGGACATTTTTCTGTAAATAATAATATAACTCAAAATATAATTCTAAGTACAAACATTTAAAAATGTATTAAAGTTTTAAATATTATCCCTAGAAGCTAATATTTTGGTGTTGAAATTAAAAATTACTTATTAACTGTTCAAATTGAAAACTTTATATGATTTTAGTTGGTTAATTGGGGAAAAATTAACCTGATAATAATAAAATGGTGACAGGAACCATTTCATATACTTCTATCATATCAGATAAAAAATAAAACAATAACTTATACCTATTTAAATTTAATATTTTAAAGCACACATCTGTTAAGTAAAAGAATTCAAATGAATATTTTAAAGTACCTACTTTGCTTTCATATCTTTCAGTTAATTGTATACAACTAATAATTAGTGTATAATAATTATTTGTGACTGCTTGTCCTACATAATATCTACATGTAAATATATTATAATTGTGTACTATGGTGATTTATATTGGGACCAAGCCACAAGGAATATTGTCATACATTATTCCACAAAATTCAAATTCTACGAACATGACATTGAGTTTGATAACATAACATACAGCCTTTATAAATTAATATACAAATTTTTTCTCAAAATAATATATTATGTATAAATCTGGCCTCAGGCTTAAATATTAAAGCAAATTGAGTAACAATGATATAAACAATCTAAATATAGGTAATTCACTGGTATCATATGAGATCTACCATAATTTTGTCGTCCACAATATGCTATGTATTTACAGACCCATTAATATTGGAGTCTATTCTCAAAACATTAAATACTTTAGCAAATTAAAAAATAAAAATAAAAATATCAATGAAGAACGCCTTTGCTTGAAAGAAAAATACAAAAAGCATCCACCAAGAGATCCAATTTTTGATGATTTTCTAAATTATATGAAAGCCACATTTTAAGAGTAATTAATATAATACTTAATAATAATAATTTTTTTTATATAATTAATATTATTTGTTTATATTTTTTGTTTTCTTTTAAGTAATATTTAATAATGTTTACTAAAATAAATTATATTCACCATTAGTATTTTTTTAGTAAATTACATGTAAAACTATATCACCATAAATTGATCAATTGATAATAATCAAACTTTAAGTTATGAATGTCATAAGATTATTAAGGAGAAAATATTGAAGTGTATTAATATGTATAAATTCATTATACGTTCCAAGAATTTTAGTAAGTAGTATACCAGTAAGACATACCAGGCCGATTCATACGGACTTTGAAACAAGTTGGTTACATAATTACTTCATATTGATTAATATTATATTTTAGATTAAAATAATTCAAATTTATAAGAAAATTAATAATATTTAGACTTAAATATTTAAAAATTTTAATAACACACTTATAAATTAAAACATAATAAAAGACTAAAAAGAGAATACAGTTAATGTTCTAATATTTAAGTTCTACAATAGGTATATTGAATATTAGATTAACAACATAAAATTGGAACTGTTGAACGCAAATTTACTATTAATATTAAGACTGATAAAAAAGATATAAATAGATGTGATGTCTTATAACTTAGCCCTTATAAGCTAATTCTATAAAATATATACGAGTTAAAAATATAATCAAAGTGCTTAATTCTATTGCCTAAGGTAGAGATATTCAAACTTTCTCATCCCACAGCTCTTTTTTGTCTTTGCATACTTAGACAGCTCCCAAATTAGTAATTTCAAAAAACAATGGTTATATTATTATGTATATTAATTAATATAATGTATTAATATTTATTTATTATACGACTGTATAAATCAATTAACAAATAAATAGGTAATATAGAAAAAATTAAATTAAATATTTTATACTTAATAAATACAAATTAATAAAAAAATAAAACATACACGTATTGATACACATTCAACGGGTTGTGTATACTGCGTTATCACTCAAATGATTGTAAACTATTAATATTTATACACATTCCAACTTGTCTAGAGTGTTTTATTATTGTTTCCATAATTACCACATTATTACATTAATTTCATTTTTTGGTTTTCAGCCACAGCTCAATTCACTAACTCACACAACACTTGTAAGCGTCGCAACACATAGTTTGAATACCTCTAGCCTAAGAGTTTAAATACAAGTTCAAGTTGTATACTGTAAATTATCAAATTTTAAGCCTGCGATTTGAATAAACTTAATAAGTTTATCTTATCTACTCTAAGAGAACAAAATATATATTTAAGTAATACTAAGTATTAAAACATCAAAAACACATTTGTTAAGTAATCCGTGATAAAAGACCGCAATGAGCATTTTGTAGTCGGTGATGTCTGGCTATGCCCAAAAAGGGTAATCATTTAATTCAACACATCGCTCAGACATCATAAGTATCGAATGCATCTCATCAAAACAATACACAATACAACCAAAAAAACACTCCAGGAATCAAATTGAACGGAGAGAACGCAGTAAAAGGTGTTGCGGTTAGACTTTTTCAACATTATCACGCAACAAACGCATTAAAGGTGATTACGCGGAGCGTAGCGTAAAATGAACAAAACTTACGGATTGTCTGGATTAGACGGACGGCCAGCAAAATGCACGCAATATGAATTTCTTCGAGACCAAAGTGGACAGTGGCGCACAAGTAGCCTATGTAAATCCGAAACGATCAACAGACGACGGCGTTGAACCCGCGGGAGAATCCAGTCGATATGAACGGAGAACGGACAACAAAACACAATCGGACGACGGATTACGCTTCTACAGTTCTACTAGACGGACATGAACCAAGGGAGTGGGATTAATGTAAAATGCGAATAAAGGAAAGGAGAGGGGATATAGGCAAACAATAATAAAGAACGCTTAGTATGAGTAGTATCAGTGTGGCTGCTTTAAGGGATATCACGACCAACAGTTACCGACTTGGAAGACGCGAAATTTATGAGCAAATATTTTAATTATTTTTTTATAGTTTATGTTTATATATACTACCAAAAAATGACTAAGGCAAAACAATTTTCACGTTCCGAAATATTCTTCTATTGGTTTTAGACTCGTAACATAAAAACAATAGAAATATTAAAAACTAACGCTAATATTAGTTTTGTCGAAAGTCTGGCAACGCGGTAATAAATAAATGCCGTTGCCAAACTCAAAGGAAAAAAATGAAACAGGTTAGCCAATAACAGTTTGTAGAGGTAGAAATGTACAATATTGATATTTTCAATTTTTTAAATAAAAGTCGTTAGATGTTAAAGTGTAGAAAGTCGTAAGCCTCGCTAGTCATCATTCGTAGGGCAATAAGGCGCTAAAACGTAGGCAAGGTTGGTACCATAGTATATAGATTAAATATAGACGATTTCATTAAAGTTGACACTCTAAATGCTGAAGTAGATAAAAATAGGTGTAGTAACAGTAGATTTCGTGTAACAACTATCAACAAAAAGTACTTAAACAAAAATTAGAATATGAATCTAGCCCATAAAAAATCAGTTTGCTTTTTTGAAAATGAAATATGCATATGAGGAATAATATTCCTATAGACCTTATACTAATAGACACAAAGTATGAAGTTCATGAATATTCCAAAACGTACTATTGCAAAGAACTTGATTTTTTTTAAATATCAAATTTTTATTATCATGTAACTATAATTTCCTTTAATGATAAATATTAGTTAAAAACGAATAGATCTTCATTCTTCGCAGGAAAAATTCCAAATTATTCCAATATGGCGTCACTACACTATTATCACAAAATATATTGTTTATCACAAAATGTTATTCTTATCACAAAAGTGTATTATTAAATAATTAAGTATAATAGTAATAATAGTTGAAATAAAATAGATAAATTAAAATTCACTTTCATTATATGCTAATAATAATAATTTATTAGTATATATTATAATCTAATAAAAACGTTATTTTTTTTTTTCAAAAAGCAAGTATGGTCATTTGTTGAGTAGATATTTGATACTTCACCATTCCTATCTTCCATTAACGAATCTCTTATTAGTTGGCTCTCATTTGTAGATAAAGTGGTATCAAATAAATTATATTTATTTTATTTTAAAACGACTTTGTCTTTCTATATTCTATTTATTATTGTAATTAATGTTAGTATTAACTGTAGTAGTGCCTGAAGAAATAATGGACATAATTTTATCACAATGTTTAATGTTTTTTTTGTTCTCTTCATTTAAATTCGACCGATTGTATTTCCAAACATAATTTCCATTTTTTGTTTTATCTCATCATCTAATGAAGAAAATGGATTACTTATTTCTACTGCGTTTTTTAATATTAAATCTTGGTCAATGGTTGATATTGATATTTTTTTACTTTTTGATAATGAATTTGAAATATTAAACTTAGCAATTGCATGTATGTGTTTGCAAATATTTAAATATATAATATTGTTTATGCAAGAGCATTTAAATGTATGAACACAAATATTGAATTTATCGCAACGTAAAACACAATTACTACATATTATATTAACTTTTTCAATTGAATATTTAATTTTTATATCTGTTTCTGAGGTAACCATCTATACATTATCTTCAACTTATTCTATTTTATTTAATTGAATGCTTTCACTTTTATTATGGCTATTAATGATTTGTAACATTTTTGAAGATATTTTTATTACTCTTTCAAATGACTTGTCCCTTATTAACGACATTAAAGTAAAAAAAAAAAAAAAGAATAGAAATTAGTGTTAATAAAAATGTCTAATTAATAAATTTGCCTGATACATTGTGACTTTTCAAAATCGGTTTTGAATTATTTTATTAAGTCCCAAGTAAGAAATTTTCGTATAGACTCAAAATGTACGACCGTGTATGTATCGCCATACCGCTGTATGTCCGTCGCTTTCTTGCATTTCGACATAATCGCGAATACATGAAGTTAGTCGATAATACTCGACGTGTATTCATATAGACTGTGTAATATTTTTATTGCTTTCAAAAGTTGAATCATAATGTATTTTGAAAGGCGGTAAAAATTCAAAATTATTTTATGATAAGAATAACATTTTGTGATAATAGTGTAGTGCCATATTGGAATAATTTGGAATTTTTCCTGCGAAGATCCATTTGTAGTTAAAATAAATTCTTCTAAATTGATTCTTAATAAATACATAAATTCAATTATTTTTTAAAACGACATTACACTTAATAATAAAAAATATAAAACCATACATTTCGTCAAAACTATACCATTTTTATAAAGATGGTATGCATATTATAGAGAGCAAAAAAATATTTGTTTAATCTATTTTACTTTTTTCAAAAATGTACCATATCTATCAGTGTTTGACTCTAAAATAAATAAATTAAAATTGATTAGTAATTACTTTATTAAATATTTCTATACAAATATGCTCTTCAATAAAAATAGAGAATAAATGTTAATAATAAAATATATAATACAATTTAAAAACATTATCAAATTAATAAATTATTTTATTTTTATTAAAATAAAAATTTGTTTTTTCAAATAATAATAGTATTGAATAACAAAAATTTTAAATATAAATAATTTTTAACACACTGGAACACATCTCTTTAATTAAACAGTATAAAACTATAAAATATTTGAAAACAAATCTATATTTATTACATACACTAGAGACTCGATAGTTCGGAACACTAAACATAGTAATCTAGACAGCGTAAGTCCATTTGTTTGTAAATATATTTAGTTTTTTAAAAATTAAAAGTATTGTTCAAAAAAAAAATTACTGACTTCTTACTTAAGTTCTATTATTATAAACATTTTTTTTGTAATTCATTATGTTAAAGTTATTTATTATTTTTGTAATTTTAAGTGCACTCTGTTCTTTTACTTAACAAAATATATTAGCTGAACTTCCCAAATAATTACATTTAATCTATCAGCTTTCTTCAATACAATTTTCTTGAAATCATAATTCCTCTAGTTTATTAAATTATAGGTTCAGTGTACTCAGAATCAAGATTTATTTGAAAATTTTCTGTTGTTATTCACAATAATTAGTTGATCGGTATTATCCAATGTCATGGCAAAATGTTCAGTAGAGTTGAAAATTAATGGAGCTATGACAATTGATAAGAATATTCAAATTGTATAATATAATTTGTTAATAATTAAAAAACACATATTAAGTAAAGTTAATTAATTAACTCTAATTATCTAATTACTACTAATTAAAGAAAAGACAATAAAACCAAATTTAAAATAACATGATAATATTATGCTACACTATCAAATATCAGTAACTTTCTATCAATAGGAATTGTTAACAAGGTAATTAATTTAAATTCTGAGTATGTAACATCACTATTATCACTATATATAAATGACATATTCATATTGTTAAATTTAAGTTCTAAATAATAATAGTATTGGAAATAATGAATTATGAAAACAAATATCCCCTTCACATTGGTTAATTACATGGTTTTAATATGGGTACCTAATAATAGTTGTTTGGAACTAAAAAAAATAATGTTTTAGATGAAATTAAAACATATTGGCGCTTAAAACCATGTCTACTACAAGATCTCCTTCTTTCAGAATCAAGCAGATGAAGATCAATAACTAACTATAATCTGTAATTAATAACTATAATAATTTTTAATTTGTAACTTGTAATTAGTATGTTATAAAACTTGTAATAGCATGTAATATGCTAAAACATTTTAATTTTAATAAATTAAAAAAAAAAGATGAAATTCTTAGTGTATAAAGTAAATTTTTTCAACCATTAATTACAGATTTTTATTGTATTATACATCTGTGACATTAATAACACATTAATAAATCTTTTATTTGTCATAAGTAAAGATAATCAAATATAAAACTAATAATGCCAATTTTCTTTTTCTAAATGAAAACTTAATTTTGTATATTTTGGAATACTACTCAATACCCATCATATACTGATCAACTGGAACTAATTACTCATTAGGTGACTGATTTATTTTAACAACACTTTTATTAAAATTATAAATTTTTTATTAATTGTTTATAAGACAATGTCTACAGTATCCCAATGACTTAACATTTTAACCATAAGTCATTGTCATTTAAATCCACATTCTATGAGTACTGTAAAGTTTTTATAAAGATAAATACTATCTCTAAGAAAACATGAAAATACAGTCTAGTTTATATTGTACATTATAATATGAGGAAGTACAAAATAAAAATAAAACAAAAATTATACATATGTATACAGAACACAAATATAAATAGAATAGGCAAGAAGTAACTGTTTAACTGTAGTTTTAATAATATAATTGTAGAATACACCATTTTATTGAGTAAGTCACAGTAATAGATTTTTTTTTTTAAATTGTATTTTATAAAAATATATAGTAATATTATACAGAGTGACTAATGGGAACTTGACATTTTTCTTGATATAACTGCATTCAGGAGGAAAGACATTACTTACAAAGCATAATCTTTCACAATTAACAAATGTTTTAGATGATATGTAGTTATAGGTAACTTTGAGAAAACAACTGAGCAATATTTATTTCTAAAATGTCAGCTTTCAAAACACAATTATTTTTCTATAATATTAGTAGTTAGTTAACAAACAGAAATTCATATTCCCTTCTTTTAAAATTATTAAGCACACTACTAATATAGTACCAAAACTCAAATAATATAATTCTGACACAAAACCCTGATAATTAAGCTAAATATTATTAGATAGTAGCTATTAAAAATATTTTTATCTATGTCAACTGAATTTTTTGTATTTAAATTATATTGTTGCTCATCGCTTTCATTTATTTCATTAACTGAAGAAAGAAAAATCAAATTTTCATCATAATAGTTTTTAACTGAACTAGTTTATAAATGCATACTTACTATAATTACTAAAATCAATTCTATCCAACTAATTAAAAGATTTAAGCTTAAAAATAAAATTATTTTTCATTTTCATATGCCTTGCAAAACAATTTCAATGCAAATAATAATAATAAGTTATAAATTTAAATATAAATAAGATACAACACAATTACACTACCACTTTACAACATTCTAGGGCGATAAATTTGGTAGAAAATAATATATCCATATATAACTAAATAAAATACTATATTATACAATATAAAAATAATAAAATAATTAACACGTAACATTAATACACAAGGTACTGTTTACTAGTTATTTATAGCTCATTTCATATTTCAATAAGATTAAATACTTAAATAAAATCATGTATACATTATATAAACAATGTTCTAATTAAAATACAAGTATAACTCATTTTAAATAAATAGATAAAATGATAATTTTTAATAACAATGTTTTACTACAATTATAAACATTATAAACCAAATAATTTTATAACTACATACCTATGTCATATCGCAGATTATAAGCATCTCAAAATGAGAATAATTATAATATAGTTTTAGATAAAATTCAAAATAAAAGAAGTCTAACCATAAATTTCCTCCTAGAGGTATCTATACATGAATCTTTATAAAGTATTTCATAAATAAATATTATTAAATAATAAATAATCTTGATAATAATAATTATATTTTTTAGGTAATAAATTATCTGATATCAACATAACTATAAAAATAATATTCACTATCACCACTATTTACTACATATTTCAATTAGTATAGATTTTAACTATTCACTTTTTATTTTATTTTAAATTAAGAAGTAAATAATTTTTTTGTTAACTATCAACAATAAGTAAACTTGAATCTAAAATTAATTTTGAATTTTTAAACAAAAATACAATTTCTATGTTTTTACTACAAAATAAATTTAGAATAAAAATAACTTAATTATTATGTCATTCACAGAAAACCAATTCTAAGAACTTTAGTTTACCTAACTAATTTTTGGAGAGGAAATAAAGAGTAAAAACTACCGTGATAAAAAGTTATTATAATCATTGTTGATTTCAAACTCTTATCCTTAATTTTCCTATTCTAACCAAGTAGTTCTATTATTTTTAAATATAAATAATTACAATTACAAATTGGACGAAGTACTGAAGATTTCATTTCAACTATAGGTACATACATAAAATTAAACTTACAAATGTGTACTCACAAAAGATTAGTTTGTTATTCATAATATAAAGTGTAACTTTAATAAACCATAACTTTTACAAAATAATCAAAATTATAAATCAATAATAATTTACTAACCTTTAATCAACAAAAACTTCGATATATAGTGTAGACTGTAGGTATCTAATTTTTAGAAAAATTAAAATTGTTTTTAACACAAATGACTAGTAGTAAAGCGTTTATAAAAATTTAAGTACACAGAAAATGAGAACGTTAAACACTCACAATCAAAAGATACTCACACGGCCTGGAAAACGATCAACACACTGAATCACACAGAATTACTAAATACGGATTACAAAAATAGGAAATAGTTGGAATATAGATTATTAGTAGCAATGATGATCAAAAATGTTTCAATTTGACTCTTGTCTTTGATCTCTTATCAACGTCTACTGATAATAATTTACAACAATATATTTATATATTATACTGTGATGTATTTCCCAAAGGATTTACATTATTCTTCAATTATGGAAATCACAGCGCGATCTACTAGCGTTACAAAACAATATTGCTATTGAAAATGATGAGGCACAAACTCAATGTCTGGTAGATTGCATTAAATATACCTTATCAAATTATAAAAATAATCCAAGTACCAGAGAAATGGAGTACAAGTAGTACCAGCGACGTAAAAAAGGGTAGAACATTTTTTTAGGAATTATTTCTTATTAGATATAATTTTTTAGTCTATTTTAACAGAAAACTAAAATCGATCGTACCTATTTGAATTAATTGTATTGTACTTAAGTGCCTAACACATAAATTGTCTATCATAATAAAATAAACAGCCTAGTATGTTTAAAAATACTTTTGCGAAGTTTGTGTTGTGTAATTCTGATTATAAATATTAAATAATACAGCTGAACATTATCTCATGTGGGTATCTAGTTGAGTATTTCCAAGAAAGCATTATTTATAATATGACAATTTGACGAACACTATAATTTTTATAAGTATCGTATATCGCTGTATTTAAACATATTTTATTTTGCACGATTAATCGCCTAAATTATTATAGTGTGTCACTTTTATCTGTAATCGTTATCGTTATTTGCACATATTACCAGTTTACCACAGCACTGCATGTTATTTTATATTATTATATTTTATCAACCATCAAACTTGGTGACAAACGGAAGTACAAGTACGTCCTTCAAATGTAAAAGTTAATATATTACTATAATATTTTCGATTATTTAATTACATTTGATGTTTATAGTGTTTAAAAATTAAAATATATTGACAAAGGGTTATTGGATAGCAAAAAAATTAAACTTGATAATATAGAGAGTAGAGACCAAAATTTACCCGGTATCTACAAGTAATCCAAATTATAACAAAGACATAGTGACCAATGTCAGTAAAGACTAGGTAGCCGAGCTATAATAAAAGATCGGAAATAAATGAAATTGATTCGGGTATGGCTATTGCTATTTGGTTAGTAAGTAACTAAGTCGCGTTACGTAAAAACTTATAAAATCTTTACTTACTCAATATTATTACTTTTATTGATGTGAAACATCTATAGCCGCACGTAAAACCGATTTCTGGCGTGGCGACGCATGCCGTGGCGACGCGTCGCCACGCTATATGATGGTATATACTATATATGATGGTAGTGTGTACGGTGTGGCGACGCGTCGCCATGCGCAATCGACTGTGCGATTCTCTTCCACTCGATCCGGCGTTAAGCCATCTCAATCCAATTATATCATGATAAAAAAACAGCATAATATTAATTATTATTATAATTAGTTAGTTTTTATTATAGTTATTATTTTATCATATCATTTATATCTCAATCCAAGAGAACCTACCACCAGATACGGAACAACAATAGATGCTGTATTTATTATAGATATCTTGATAATGTTATGTCCAATACTTTTGTAACATACTTCAGCTAGCATCGACCAATTGTCACAGTAATACTGTCGTCAGAGGCAACATCGAATGTCACTATTACCGAAGTCACTGATTAAACGAATTAAGTAGTCACGATTTGAAATAAATTCGTAAATTTTTGTATTTAATGAAAATAAATGTTTATTAAATAAACAGTCATCATTATCTGAAAAAAATCGTAATATTTTAATTTATATATTTAAATAAAACATTATTAATCCTCAATAGATTTAAATGAGTCAGCACTTGCCACTTAGTACCAGTACACAAATACACTCGCAAACTTATGATAGTGGTTTTTTGTAGATAAAACGTAAACTTGTACCAATGATGAAAAGTATAAGATTTTTGAAAAATCGATGGATAAGTTGATGAGATGAGTTATGTACTTTTGTTTCCCAATATAGTTATATAACTATTTAAAAATTGGCCAGTGTAGAAGAAGGCAGAAGCTATTCGACACTGAAACGTTTGAAGCCATATTTTAGGAATCCTACGAAAGAAAATCAATTAAATGGAATGTCTCATTTAAGTATCCACAGATAAATACCAATCCAAAGTAGTGAAGTGATCGATGTTTTTTTCAAAAATAATAGTCATTGTCTTAAAAAACGAACTTGATTATATTTTTATATTTTTTATTATTTATACATATGACTAAGTAATAAGTTAGATTAATTTCAAATTTAAAAATTAACCCCCCCCCCCTCTTCAAAAAAAATTTCAAAATCCAAGGCTAAGTACACCATTCAGTAGTAGAACGGTTAAATAACTTTATGTTAAATATCGACAAAATATAACTGCCAAAATCAAAATAACATACCCGAATTCCTCTTACTAATCATTACCAGAGTGATTGGATTAAACTCTAACTAGTATAAATATAAGGTAATTAAATGCAATTACTGCAATAGCAAGCTATTGTATCATGCACGTTCCAATCATTCCTAGACAAGTAGGTAAGTAAAAAATGTATTAAAAAATGTGCTTATAAGCAATTTAATCTAAATTTAACTATAATTTTTTTTATCAAATAAAACAATAACAGGAACCATTAATTATCAAAAACTTATACTTCGTAAGTGAAACCAATTTTGAATGTACTGGGAAAATTTATGAAACATGACGCATATTAATACATAAATGGATGATGGATGATATAGGTACTTAACTAATGGAGTAGCTAAAAAAAAAAGATAATATGAGTAGGTGAACTAATTCTATAAATTAAAATATTGGTTATTCAAATGTATTTTCACCAAATAGGTACCTTCCATCCACATTATTAATGATATAAGTATAATAGTTATTAACTTAAGATTTTAGTACTGTACTATAGTGTAGTAATTGGTGAATATGCAGATTGCAGATTGCAGTTAATTTAATTTGATTTTTAATTCTAAACAATTATTTTATTGTCAATTCTTCGTGAAAAATGTTAACTGAATAATGTTGTCCTTAATAAATTTTAACTTTTCATATAGATAGTATAAAAAAAGCTTTTTTTAAGATTAAAAATGTGTTAAACGTCAATTAAATAATAAATAACATAAATTTTATGCAAAGAAAAAAAATTGAAATTAAAATTAAATTATCATATCAATTTGTATGGTTAAAGAAAGATAATAAGAATAGTATAGGTTACCAAATGTCCTGTATTGTACGGAAATGTTCTGTTTTTAACTTTATCTGTTCTAATGTCTCAAAACTCTTTTCTAAAACAGAAATGTCTCATTTTTTCAAACGTTTCTCATTTCATCCCATTTTAAACTACATCCAAAAGAAAATGTATGCATTATAATATTATTTTAATTCTAGTTTCTTCGTATAATCATTTTACTTTTTATTTTTGTGTATTTACATATTATATGATATATCCATGCAGACACGTATATAAAATACAATTTGGGGGGGGGGTTTACAAAATATAGTAATACAAATTGTGCCGCAACATAATAAAACAATTTCTTCTTCGTTACTCATTATTTTTTAGTACGATAATTATTATGCTTAGTATCCAAATTTTATGTATGTTATTTGTTCAAAAGGAAGTTAATAAAAACAATTATAATAATAAATATAACTTTAAATGTTATGAACAGATTGAACAGAACAGACATTTATTTTATTATAGTACCTATGCACATACCTAAGTAATTATACTATTAAGTACTAGATAAAAGGAAAAAAAATCAAACATTAAAAAATTACAAATTAAAGTATAAAATCCCATTTTCATGGTAACTTAGCAAATCTATCGATAATTTCTACCATATTTAAATCAAAATTTCGGTATATGTTTAGTAGTGCTAATCCAGTAAGTCTAATTTCTCTTATATTGTTTCGTAAGTACGTTTTAAGTCTTCGTAGAGTTGAGAATGACCGTTCGCAGTAACAGTTGTACCTAACAGATAATGTGGCCAAAATGTACCTTACAGTATTGATTTAATAATACATAAATTAGCAATTTAATAGGAATTTTTGGTAATCGATTGGGATATAAGAAAAGATTATTGACAAAATGTGAGTTTTCTAGGTATATAAAGGCTTATATATATATCGCAATGTTCAATTCTCACACGTGCGTAATTCTCAGTAATCAGTTATCACTTCATTCGACATACTAGATTATAAACTTGTATTTCATACCCGACTAATATAAACAAAAGAAAACTAACCAATAGCTAGTAATAAAAATATTTTATAATAATAGGTGTATAATTTGACTTAATTTTCAAAGAAATTATTTCTGGTGGAGGGAGGTGAACCCCCAAATCCCCCCTGTATACGTGACTGTATCCATGTTTAATCTCTTAAAAATTTTGTGAAATTGTAAATATTTAACTTAGGCTAGGATCACACTATGCATTTTGTCGGCAACCGAAAAATACTATCCCGATTAACCGCAATCGGGACGATCGATCATACTGTGCGTTTTATCGGTAACCGAATAAATACAAATGAGATTAAAAAGCCCGAAAATCGTTTTTAATTTAAATTTAAATTTTAAACTGATTTTTTATTTAAACGAAATGTATCTAATATTATAAGTAAAAAATAATAAAAAGGTTGTGTGATTAGAATTATTTGTTTTTATTTAAAACGTGTATCAACTAATTATGCTAATAAATAATAATATACATCTATAATATAAATAAAATATAATATATATATATATATGTATATTACAAATATATTTTAAGTTTTTTAATTATTTAAATTTAAAAATGATTATTAATTATTCATAAAATTTTCAATTTCGGTTACCGATAATCCGCACAAACGTGATCGGACAAACTGCATTGCATGTGTTGTGCTTTACATCCCGAAACGCAACCGGACGGTTGGGCCGCAACACGTTGCGGTCGCTTCTAGACGGTTTTTAATCGGTTCCGCAAATCGGTCTAGTCTGGCCCTGATAACGCGTTTTATATTTAAATCTATTTTATTTTAAAGTG